GGAAGGAAGGAAGGAAGGAAGGAAGGAAGGAAGGAAGGAAGGAAGGAAGGAAGGAAGGAAGGAAGGAAGGAAGGGAGAAACAGCCTTGAACGGTGACAGGTCATTAAAAATCTGTGCTCTAATTTTTAGCTTCTTGGATTATACTCCACTACATGTCCTGAACTGGAATAGTTTGACATACAATCAGATGATAAATTATGTAAGTACTAGGTACAAATTATCAGGGAATATATTTGGGTTGTTTACAAAATGGTTCAGGTTCACATCCTCAAAGTACTTACACACAATAATTAGAGAGAAAATTTAACCAGTAACAATCTCCAACAAGTAATCCACTATAATGATTCTTAAAACTGTGTAATTCGTATATCTACAACGATGCAGAACCATGCAGATGAATCTCAAGCATAATATTGGGTGAAAGAGGCCAGACACAAAATACAGTTGTCCCTTGGTATCTGTGGGGAACTGGATGGTTATGGTTCCAGGACCTCCCACAGATACCAAAATCTGTGGATGCTCAAGTCACTGACATAAAATGTAGTATCTGCATATGGCCTATGCACTTCCTCCTGTATGCTTCGAATCATCTCTAGGTTATTTATAATACCTAATACAATGTAAATGCTATGTAAACAGTTGTTATACTGTATTGTTTAAGAAATAATGACAAGAAAAAAATCTTTACATGTACAGTACAATTCTTTTTCCAAATATTTTTGATCCGTGGTTGGTTGAACGCTCGGATGCGGAACCCATGGATACACACGTATGAGTGTTTATAGTGTATGATTCTACTTACGTAAAACAGTAGAAGTTAGGGTAGGGAGAGCAGTGACTAGAAAAGGCATGAAGAGGTCATGAGGGAGGCTTATAATATTCTGTCTTGATCTGGGTGCTGGTTACATAGCTGTGTTCAGTTTGAGTTGTAGATTTATGAATGGTGTACTTTTAAAATATGAATTATATTTCAATAAAAAGATTTTTTAAAAGTCCTATCACTGAGCATCCAAAATCTAGATAAGCCAAGTTGTGAAACCTTAGTCTTACCATTTAGATTAACAAGTGCTGGTGGATGTTAATTTAATGATGGACTCAAGCTTCTTAGAGGATGAGCAAAAGAAAACAAATTGTCTCATATGCTATCCATCATATTTATGATATAAGCATCTTAGTTCTAATTTACTCCTAGCTTCAAAATGAAATCTCATAGATAACAATGACAGGAAATAATGCAAGTCTTTTTAACACAAAATACTTGAGTTTTAACACATTTTTTACCAAATAATTTTTAAACTAGTTGTAATTAGATGTACGTGAATAATCACTGTAAAAAACTTAATTTAACAGAAATCATCAAGAACCTAGTAAAAGACTTACCACAAACTTACTCAGACATTCATTTTAAATTAAGAACCCATGTGTACTACCTTTCTTATTAATTTCTCTTTAATTACTAGTGCTACCATAAGGAAAGACAAGCAGACTCAAGGGGATGGTATACCTAGCAACTGTTACTACTATATTTATGCATTTTTTTTCCATGAAGGCGAAAACACTGCAAGTGCTTATCAATGAGGCTAAATCCTTACAAGCTACCTAATTTTCTCCTTTAGTCTACCTGAACTAAAGTTTCTTCCCTCTAGTACTCCTTTACTTTACTGACGTGATATTTAGTAGAGGGTAAAATTGTTTGCTAAAAATTCTTACCCTGACCTTTTGCTGACAAAGGTCTCCCAATGACAGCGTGCTCTCCAGTGATATCAGGATAGATTTCTAAACTAATTCTGTTTGATTTAACAAAACAATGCCAAAAAATAACTTTGGAAAACTGTTCTTTAAAGAAGAAAAACAGAAAGTCAAATTTTAAACTTAGTACTCTGAAATGTCCTATAGGCTAGAACATCACTAAAAACTGCCTTCATAGTAAGGTAATTTCCTGGAAAGCTAATATTATTCACTTTAAAACAGTTTGGGCTTTCTAAGAAAGGGTTGGATTATTTTTTGAACTATCAGTATCTACTGTCCTTATATTTGAAGATGGTTTCAGCTGATTGATTCCCTGAGGACTCTGAAACGACACACAGGGAAGACAGAAACCATGATGGCACCTACAGGAAAAGGGAAAGGAAGGTTTCAGACTAGCTTCAATTTTAGTACAGTAACTGAGTAAAGCACTGGATAGCAATGGAAGAAGGAAATATCTAAATATAGGCAGAGGTAGACTGGTTGATGAAAAGCCTCTCAACTTAACTCTAATTTGACTAGGGAAGAAAACGAACAGGCCATTAGAGAACTTTAAGTCAGTGTAAGAAAGGAATAGTAGTTACTTATATTTTGATTAAAAGATACTCTGCCAAACTAAAAGAATCCTGGGGGCAGAGAAAGAGATTCCATTCTTTTAAGTAAGACAAAAAAACCAGGGCCTAGGGCGGGTTTAATGAAAATTAGCATGGGACTGAAAAGCTGCCCCTACTGAAAATGATTTCCAAGATTTCGTAAATAGGAGCCTATTGAAATATGGTATTTAGCAACATGATAGGCAAATTTATGCCTCAAAACAGGTAGATAATACAGTACATAATATAAGGAATTTGTAATCCCTTAAACTCCTGAATGGTTCTATGAATACACTTCAAAGAGTTCATGGAAAAACAGAATTAAAAGACAATACAATCTTTCCATGAACTTTCTGAAGTACCCTCATATTTAACAACAGAATCACCCCTGCAAAATACTTATTTGCCAAATTGGTAATAAAATAAAAAGTAATCCTAACTTTATAACAGTCAAATTTGAATAAGGTAATATGGTGAGGTCCAAAACAAACAAGGTTAGAAGTTATATTTAGTATTTTTTAATGCTTAGCACATACAACTCTTCAACTCCTGTCTGCAATGATTAAACAGTCCCACAATACTATTTTATTAGCTGATACACCTATTAACAAGTCTGTAGATATTTGCCAACTGGAGTTGTACATTGTTAGGACTAATAAAGCTAGCCACTATTGCATCTCTCAATTGAAAATTTAATAAGTTAGTTCAAAAGTTAAGAGGAAGCCACTAGTCAGTTTCTACTGGGTTGGACTTGTCACCTTGGTACCAAGAGGCCAATCTACAAAGAAGAATGGTTGATCTAGAATATACGTTCTTATTATATTTTGGCATTAACACACTATAAACAAGTATCTGTTAACTTCTGTGGCTCCGTACAACAGGCTCCAAGGAGAAGGGAAAATATTTCAACCCATGATAAACTACAGATACAGCAACTTGCTTCATTTCTGATACCTTAAAAGTTTCTGGTATCTAAAAAAGAAAACAGATAAGGAGTATTTAGCTGTAACAACAAATGATGACCAGGCAACTTCTATGGTTGTTTTATAATCAAACAAAAAAAGCCATTTAATATTATAAAAAAGCTTAAACCTCCCTACACTATTTTGATGAAAATAATATACATCATTCACACTGCTCATGTAAACTCAGGAAAGTTAGCTATTTGAAATAAACGAGCACACATCTGAAAACTACTCTTATTACATTTCTAAATAGGAGTGTTATTTTTTCTTTTTCTAAGGGGAAAGTATAAAGTACACCCCAAAGTACTCACACTCTGACTTTGATAACTATTTCAATGATTAAACTTTCATGCTCATTTCATGCCATAGTCTACATTTATGTATTAATTTATACTGCTATAGTGGAACTATTTAAAAATTGATTTTATAAACATGGTACCACAAATTTTAAAACTTCCTATTCTAAAAGTAACTATTTTAAAATATTTTTGGTTAAGTAAGGAACATCAAAAAGATACTGTTAGAAAATTTCTTTAGAGTAACACACATAAGCAAATCAAGCCTAAGAATTAAGGCTTTTATCATTTCCAGATGATGTACACCATGTCTTAATATGACATGTACATGTACTTAGCAATACTCTTTCCTAGGGAAGTGATGGAGTTGAGTCCATGAGTGTTATCCAAACCTATGCCCGAAGACACAAATGCATTGCCAGGCAGAGTTAAAAGAATCTAAGAAGCTTTGTGTGAATTTTATAAACATTGTTTGCACTCAACTTCTGTTAATTAAACACAAGAATGATGGAGCGCTGATAAATATTCAGCAAAATAACTGAACAGAGCATACACTACTTAAAATGTGTGTGAAGCAGAAAGATAAACCAAAATATCTTTTGCCATAAATGAACTTTAAGACTTCATTCTATATTTTTAAAAGTTAAAAATAAAATCTATATATTTCTGTGAGAAAGCAAACTGTTTTAGGGGCTTACAAATCAGTAATGCATATCTAGTAAGTTCTAGCAAAGAAACTTGTTATTAAAGTTTCTCAACAAAAATTTAACAATGACTACACTTCGATACCTTGGTCTTGTCTCTCCTCTAATTCTTAGTTTGAAATAACATTTTGCTTCTTAGTTCGAAATAACATTTTGCTTTGAATCACTACAGTTTTACAGAGAAACCATATAAACAGCATAAAAATTAAAATAACTGTAGATAGTTTATTTTATAGAATATATTTTTACATTAAAATATACTGTAAGTGGCTATTTCACATTATAAAATTCAATAGATATACTTAAAGTGCATAAAATGCAGTAAGGAGAAAAGTATGTTTATATTCTATGTAAAATATAGATTGTCCTTTTGGTTTATTTTGCTGCTTTGTCCCATGCTAGATACCGTGTGATTCCCCCTCCCCCCCGTAAAATAACAAATAAAAAGACCAGTTTTAATGATGAAAAACCAGTACAGTGCAAAGCAATGCAATTCATGCATACATTTTTGCATGTATGCATTCCATATATTAAGTATTCATACCTATCCCAGAGGCTCTTTGATTCCTGTAACGTGTTCAAATGGAACGCTTGGTAGAAAGCAGCTGAAGGATTCCTGTGAGATCCGAGAATCAAACGGAAACGAAGTTGAGAATGTACAGTAAAATCACTACTTTTCAAAAAAAAGCTGGAAGATTTTTTAGATTTCTAATACAATGTAACTGCTTTAATTAAAAAAAAAAAAAGAAAGAAAGAAAGGAAAAAACCACATAAGCTTGCTTAAAACACCACTCTGAAAAAAATTAAAACCTGGACAAAATCCAGCAGACCCCAATAATAATTCAGGATCACAGTTCTAAAAGAAAGGGTAATACAGATAAAAATACTAACTAGCACCCAATTTTGTGTGTGTACATATGAATGTGACTATTTCATAGCCTAACAAACACTACTCTGTATCAGATGCCTTTATAAATATTGGTTTAGCAGTTTAACAAAGCTGTTCTCCAGTAGAGTATTCATGTAAAATCAGTTAAGCTATATCTTCACAATATAAAAATTCTTAGAATCTGCTAAAAGGGTTTGATAATGAACAATAAAGAGTCCCCTTTCCTGGGCTGTACTTGACTCATTTCTTCCTTCAAAATCATTTATGTATGATTCCACTGGGCTAGGGCAAAAAAATAATGCTGCAATTGTATAGCACCTTTCTAACTTCTTGTATTGTACAGTACCCCTTTAAGGGGTAAAAGCCTATTCACCATAATTATTCATTTCTACCATTCCCTAGAGCTATCACCATAGACACTTAACTGATGGGCTCATCTGGGCAAGCTCCCTGTGTGTATGATTCACCTCATATCTCAGGAATGGTTTCTCAGGGGACTAAACATTTGATAAACCTGCTGCCTAACAGTTCTGCCTCCTCCTCAGCATATTTCTATAGTCTCCCATACCCCCAACTTTTCCATTTGAGAGCTAAAAAAATTTGCCACATCACTTTTAAATTCTTGACCCAGGTTATAGTAGAGTAATAGCAGCAGCTAAGAACGTTAAGTGCTTATTATGTACCAGACACTACTCTAAGTGGCTTACATTTATTAACTCAATTCTCACATCAGCCCTACCAGCCATATACTCCCTTCTCACAGATGAGAGAGCTGGGTAAGATAAAAGTAACTAGCCGGATGTCCTAGAGTTTACGCTCTTAAAAGCACTATGCTAAACACACAGCAGAGTTAAATTCTGATCTCTCCAGGTCTGTCTCTTTATCTGTTAAATGATGTTATTACTATCCAGGTTTGAGGGATGGTTGAGGAACTAAGACTACATGTAAAGCTTCTGGCATGCAGTCAATGCTCAATAGCTATTATTTTATCTACAAAATGAGGTTCAGATATGACATGGCAATTCTGAGGCTCTAATAAGTGCCTTAAGAAAGTCTCTGCAGAACTGTTAGTATAAGAAAAAAAATTATTTCCAAGGTCTACTGGAATAGCAATAAAGTATCAATGATCATCAAAGAAAACAAATATACAATAGAATTTCATGATTTCAAAACTCAGATTACTACTCATTAAGTTCTGCCATTAACTGAATTTTTAAAAATAATTTTTAGAAGGTACTTTTGATTTTAACTGGTAGGAATCTCTTAGATAATCCCAAAGTAGAAAAGGCAGACCAATAGTAGATGCATCACTGACACAGCTGTTTGTTAATATGTGTACTTCTTGCTTGCCCTACTTCAACTCCATTTTATTCTTTTAACTCTTTCTCTGCTCTTCTCTTAACTAGGTGTAACACATCAAAGGCACTGATTATACCTGCTAATAACAAGAAAAGCTTAAGAGGCTTTTAACTACTATTTATTTAATGGTTTATATCCTCAAGATATATTTGTCAGGCCACTTTTTTCACTGTACTTAGAAATCATTCTGCCAAATCAAATGAAAACCAACTCAACTAATTGAAAACTTAATTTGGCTTATTTTTTTTTAAACCAAGCCTGTCCCGGAACATATGGGAACTAGTCTGCTATCCTCACAGGTATGTTTGGAGACCTCGAGTTTATACAGAGTGACTCAAAGAGGAAGGTAGTATATACAAGAAAATAACAAAGAGTAAACTTGGAGGTTTGGAATTAAAAATCCATTCGAAAGTATTCACAATATATTTATAAGGATGACATTCTTTAAAAGAACTTCAGATCCCTTGACTTTGGAAATACAGATATTTAATTTGAATCAAATTCATAAGCCAAATAAATTGGTTTCAAATGAAGTCATGTGACTTAAGTTATAAAATTTCAGCATTTTTACAGGATAATAGTGAAATATTTCTCATAAGCCAAACGTAAAAGTGAAATAGAGAACATATCTGTACTTAATAGTCAATCTTGGGGTGTGAAAAGAACCTGTGAGGGGGAAAAATGCACTTAAAAATTTTTAAGAACATGTCAGAATACATTTAGATTGCAAACACTGACAATTAACAATCACTTTTTCTACATATACTCAAAATAAAGAAGCCATCTGGAGTTATACAACCTGTGTACTATACTTAAGACATTTTTAAAAAATCTAAAATCTAGGAATAAAAACTTAGTCTTACACGAAATTTTTTGTTTTTGGAATCCATCAACTGGGATGTTAAACTGAAGGATTTTTAGCAAACAGCAACAATAACTAGCCCCAAACATTGATTAACAGGCATAAATTAAAGGGGTCAAGTCTGTGAAACCTAGCTGATTGAGAACTTCATGGGGGCAGAAAGGGAAAGAGCCATCTATAAATAATGAAGGTCCTGATTATCACAGGCTTCTGCTTTGGAAGGACATAAAATTGAGGCGATTAAGAGCCCAAGGAAAATCCTGGGAATGGGATCATTTCAAGGCTTATAGTCTATGAAACTTGAAGGCATCAAGAGGCAACTGAAATTTTAAAAATTATTAGAAAGAAATATTGAATTTTATTCAGCTTTGGTCACAAATTCTCTTTTGCCCAAGAAATAAAATTTGAAACCAATTTACTAATAATTTATTTCATGTCAATAGAAACTACCATTCTAAATAAAGAGCCAACAAAACAATTCTTAGGAAGACTGAGGTGTGGTTTGTAAGGAATTTACTTCAGTCACCTAAAGGAAAATGCTTTTTTCCTATTTGTAGACATTTTTTTAAAACCAGTGAATATATTCTTTTCTCCCAGACTTTATATACTAAAATAGTCTGTCATGCTAATTTCCAGGTACTTGAAAGTAGTATATAAAAAAGGGATTCAAAGCATGTGACATATGTCTACCTTCTTTAACAAGATACTATCCTTGTAGGTAAACTATAACCAGGAGGAAAAACAACACATCCCCCACACATCAAAAGTAAGCTACAAAAATTGCCAAAGCTTAAAGGATCACATACATGAGCTCTGAACTCAGCAAACACCTTTCTCTTTATCCTACCTTTGTCAAAACTCAACTTCAGAGATGTCTAAATATAAACCAGGGAAATGCAGTAAGCAGAAAATTAATTAGGGCCATCTCCAACATTATCTTGAGATTTTAAATGATTAAAAATATCTTTTAGGTAAAGGGTTACAATACAATATATCAGTGGTTACAGGAGCTTTTCCTCATTGTCTGCCAAGTAATAAAACAAAACTTCTAACTCTGGGAATATCTAAGAGCACTGGCTTTAGAGTCAAAAGTCTCAGTACGAGTCTATGCTTTGTCACTTAATAGCTGTGACTCAAATTCTCAGATCTCCAGTTTCTTTAATCCATAAAGAAAACACTTCCTTACAGGTTGTTGAAAAGTTCAAAAGAGATTACGTGTACACAAGGCCTGACACAATTAAGCTTGGTTTATGTTTAATACAAGGTTACGTTATCCAAATTATGTATATAAAAATAAACTTTTGGTAGCATATCTTAACATGTACCAAATGTTACGTCATCATCAAGGTAATATTGAGGCAAACAGAACACTTAAACTTAGAACCAGGTGTACCAAACTATTTAATATATTCCATTTGGATGAGAATTCTGATTTGGGGGACTCAGTGCTCTCCCAGACATTCCCTAATCGCAACTTTATCATAAGATTTTAACTTAAAATACAGTAGTGACTGAAAAGGGTACTGAAATGGTTCCAAGATTCATACTATTTTAATAATAAGAGCTTCAAGAAATACTTATTACAGTAACCATAAACCTATAAAAATTATAAGAATCTAAATTTCTTACCATGACATTTAAGCCCTTCACTCTGGTATCTGTCAAATTAATCATATTTTCCAAATATGAAAGATACTTACTCTTCCATATCATTACACAAACTACCTTCTCCCTTTGCTTGGAAAACCATCCCCTTCTCTTCAGTTATCTAATCTTAATGACACTTTTAAGATTCAGTTCATGAGTTAGCTTCAGAAGACTGCACAAGTAATAATGGGTTGCTTCTGAGGACAGAAATTGGGTGGCTGGAGGACAAAGGTGGCAGAGAGGCTTTCAATTTATATTCTTTTGTATATTTTGGATTTTGAACTGTATAAATGCATTATTTATGCAGAGAACAGTCACTCTACTTACTACCTCCCCAATCCAATCTGATTTCATGTCCCAAATTTTTCCCATTAAGACCTAATATTTACTCCATCTCGGCCTACGGTGTATACTGAAGTGTATGTTTGATCATCATTTTCACACAGCCTGAGATCGTGAAGGGCAGGACAATCTTATTTCTGTATCCCAGTGCTTACTACTCAGCACAATGAAAGTTAAATGACTGACATTGTTGCTTTAAATGTTTTCTTGGGCATTCAACCTACTTAATGAGTATTTGCAAACTTCATTTATTGTCACACAATAGTCTAGTGGCAGGACAGGGATTTGACAAGGAAAGTTTAAGTTGGCAGCTCTCTCATGAAGCATGTCTGAATGTATAGACTGAACCTTAAAATTTGACCAAGTCTCAAATTCTAATTTTACCAATGAGAAAAAACAGAGAAATTAAATGAGTTGACTGAAGAGACCAGCTAAGTGGTGGAAAAGCCAGAATTAGAACATAATTTGCCATGCTTCTCACTACATCATGACTTCCCTACCCTAAAAACGCTTCCTT